TTTCTTTCTTTCTTTCTTTCTTTCTTTCTTTCTTTCTTTCTTTCTTTCTTTCTTTCTTTCTTTCTTTCTTTCTTTCTTCCTTCCTTCCTTCCTTCCTTCCTTCCTTCCTTCCTTCCTTCCTTCCTTCCTTCCTTCCTTTTCCTTCCTTTCTTCTTTTAAAAAGAACTAAAATCTTGTGGGTAGCACAAGGAACTTGAATCAATAACCTCTTAAGATGGCTCCACTAGTTCATTTTCTCCACGTCTGCGGTTTGTGTGTCTTACTTTTTAATTTATTTTGATTTTTTAATAGTGATTGATTTTTACAATGATTGTATTTCTATAATTATTGCTTTTTAATTGCTGAACACCCCCCCCCCAGTAATTTCTTGTAAGAATGGGCAGCTATATAAATTTGATAAAATCTATATACTATTAAACTTCTTATTTTCTCGCTGACTTGTGCAGCCTAGAGCAAAACTTTTTCAACCAAGATTGGTTAGTGGAATGGTTAAGACACCATGCTAGAAAATGAGACATTTGTGGGATCAAATCCCACCTTAGTCACAAAAACCAGCTGAGTGACTTTGGGCCTGTTCGCTCTCAACCCAAGTCACCTCACGGGGTTGTTGATATGGGGAAAATAGGAGGAGGAAGGATGTTTGCCTTCTTGAGTTATTTATAAAAATAAAGATGGGGAAATAAACAAACCAACAAACAAACAGATAAAACTTACAAAATGCCTCCAAAACACAGGGCCTATGGCTCCCATGGAAGTGAAATTTGGCAAATTTTATAAGACATTTGATGACACAAAAGTGACCCTAAAACATTTTATGACATAAACCAACCTGTCATAGAACATTTCCTGCGACCATCTGCTGAGGTTTGACTGAGCTCTCCAGCAGTTCAACATGGACTACTTTCGAGGCAGCAACATGTCTGAAAACCTCCCTGAATTTTTAAGAAGTTTTCAAGTATATCGGAAGCTCTGCCTTTGTTGAAAACATTAAGGAATCTGGTAAGGAAATACCTCTGAAAGGATGACCCGAGAGGTCACGGGTGGTCTAGTAAATAAATAAAAACATACTCTTTTGAGGAAAGCTCCCAGTGATTGAGTGGTTAAGTGTGGATAAATGTGTGTTCTCTGTTAGATGTGGCCTTTAATTAGTTGGGACTGCGCTGAGGGCATGGATAGTAAACATAGCCCTGCCCGCTCCTTCCTAATCACACACATTCACCTACAAAAGGTTCTTTGGGAGTCAAGACTAGATGATTATCTCCAGTTAGTGCTGTGGAAACACTAATATCCTTCCAAACTAAATTGGGGTGGGTGAAACTTGGGGGTTTGTCAACACAATCTCTTGATTGCATCTTCCACTCAGTCCTCTGAAGGGTGATGGGAGACAATGCACGGATGTTGTGATATCTTTGCAAAGGCAGATATGGAGGGGGGTGCTTATTTTGGGTCTCAGGGATGTGAGAGGCTTTTTCAGAAGCGAGTGAACCCATTTCTATCCTTAAAACCTACACACACACACACACACACACACACACACACACACAAAGGCAACATTGCATTGCCAAAAATTTTGTTGTCAACATGGCTCCCCCAAAAGGCAACACAGTCCTAAGCTACATTAATAGACGGAGAGAATCATGATTACGTGATGTATTAGTACCGCTTTATATTGCCTTGGTAAGACCACACAGTTTTGATCACCACAAAATATTTTAAAAAGATATTGAGACTTTAGAGCAGAGGTCTTCAAACTTGACAGCTTTAAAACTTGTGGACTTCCAACTCTCAGTATTCCTCCTCCAGTCATGCTAGCTCAGGAATTCTGGGAGTTGAAGTCCACAAGTCTTACACTTGCCAAGTTTGAAGATCCTTGCTTTAGAAAGAGTGCAGGGAAGAGCAACGAAGACAATTAAGGGCCTGGAAACTAAAACATATGAAGAACAGTTGCAGGAATTGGGTATGTCGAGTTTAATGAAAAGAAGGACTATAATATAGCAGTGTTCCAATATCTAAGGGGCTGCCATAGAGACGAAGGGGTCAACCTAGTTTTCAAAGGACCAAAAAGCAGGACAAGAAACAATGGATGGAAACTAATCAAGGAGAGAAGCAACCTAGAACTAAGCAGAAATTTCCTAATGGTGAAAATAGCAATAGCACTCAGACTTATATACTGCTTCACAGTGATTTACAGCCCTCTCTAAGCAGTTTACAGAGCCAGCATTTTGCCCCCAACAATCTGGTTCCCCATTTTACCCACCTCGGAAAGATGGAAGGCTGAATCAACCTTGAGCCGGTGAGATTCGAACTGCCAAAGTGCTGGCAGCTGGCAGTCAGCAGAAGCAGCCTGCAGTACTGCATTCTCACCACTGCGCCACCTCAATCAACCAGTGGCAACCAGGCTTGCCTCCAGAAGTTGTGGCTGCTCCAACACTGGAGGTTTTTAAGAAGAGACTGGACAGCCGTTTGTCTGGAATGGTATAGGGCCTCCTGCTTGAGCAGGGTGTTGGACTAGAAGACCTCCAAGTTCCCTTCCAACTCTGTTATTCTACCGGTATGTTCTGTGTTCATGTGGCAAATTCCAGCAGCACAATCTTGGGGTACAGTGGGGCTGATCTGTTTCAGATTCCTTCCTTCTTAGCTTTATAGACTAGGGGAGGCATGATAGCAGTGTTCCAGTATCTCAGGGGCTGCCACAAAGAAGAGGGAGTCAAGCTATTCTCCAAAGCAGAATCTATTCTCCAAAGCTGAAGGCAGGAAAAGAAGCAACGGATGGAAACTAATCAAGGAGAGAAGCAGCTCCTTAGTTCTAAGGAGGAATTTCCTGACAGTTAGAACAATTAATCAGTGGAACAACTTGTCTCCAGAAGTTGTAGATGCTCCATCACTGGAAGTTTTAAAGAAGAGATTGGACAGCCATTTGTCTGAAGTGGTGTTATTCTATTCTATTCTATTCTATTCTATTCTATTCTATTCTATTCTATTCTATTCTATTCTATTCTATTCTATTATTTTCTGTTCTATTCTATTATTTTCTATTCTATTCTATTCTATTCTATTCTATTCTACTATTCTATTAT